CAAGAGGCTAAGGCAGGAGAATCGCTTGAACCTGGGAGGCAGAGGTTGTGGTGACCTGTGATCACGCCACTGCACTCCAGCCTAGGCAACAGAGTGAGACTCTGTCTCAAAAAAAAAAAGAAAAAAAAATCAATCTTTTGGGCCAGGCACAATGGCTCATGCCTGTAATCCCAGCACTTTGGGAGGCTGAGGCGGGCAGATCAGGAGTACAAGACCAGCCTGGCCAACATGGTGAAATTCTGTCTCTACTAAAAATACAAAAACTAGCCGGGTGTGGTGGCCTACACCTGTAATCCCAGCTACTCTGGAGGCTGAGGCAGGGTAATCACTTGAACCTGGGAGGCAGAGGTTGCAGTGAGGCAAGATCATGCCACTGTACTCTAGCCTGGGTGGCAGAGTAAGACTGCATTAAAAAAAAAAAAAAAAAATTCAGTCTTTTGTCCTTTAAAATTATCAAAAAGTGAAAGTTTTTGGCTTTGAAATGGCGGTCACAATTCATTGCTCTCTTTCTTGCAGAAGTTAAAAATAAATGCAACTTGAATGAAATGTAAGTCTGACAATCTCTAAACCTGAAATCAAGGAGGAACTTTGTTTCTGCTTCCACAGAAGCAAATTCTCAGTTTGATTAGAGAGAATAATGTTCCATATTTTGTTTCCAAAGTGTGACACTTTCCTGGCGTTACATTATTTTTGTTGTGTCTAGATACGAACTTTCTTTGCTAGTTGATTTTCCTTGTTGTTAATCCTTGTATCTCAGCACCCAGGCCTGCCACTTGCTTTACCAATATAATTTTAAGCTAGCTGAATAAGCAATATTTAGTTTAAAGGCATTTACAAGTCATATAACTTAATCATTTTAAATGAATGGTGTGAGTACAAGCAGCTTTCCTTTTTCATTTTTTTTTTAAGTATTTCTGATTAGGTAATGGGAAAGATCTGTACTCAACAGAATACATAGATAATATAATTTAAGTACTTAAGTCATACTAAGTTCAAGTTAAATTCTCTTATTTAAATTTTTTTTTTTATTTTTATAAATGAGGGAACTAAAGTGGGAAAAGTTAATTGACTAACCTGTGATCACATAGCAAGTAAGTGGTGCAGCTGGAATTAGAATACAGACCTAAATTTAGTTCTGCCTTACTGCTTGGTATAAAACCCACTTTCTATTTCTCTTTTTTCCCACTTTCTGTTTTTTAAGGATCCAAGTTTACCTTTGAGATGGGCATTCTCTTTGTCTCTCATTGTAGGTGAGGTTGGTAAATAATAGAGCAAAGGGAGGCAGTATGTTCTAGGGCAGTGGTTTTCAAATGTTGGCATGTATCAAAATCACCTATAGGACTTATTAAAACACAGATTGTGAGGCCCCCTATACCCAGAGCCTCTGATTTAGAAAATATGGAGTAGGCCTTGAGAATTTGCATTTCTAACAAATTCCCAGGTGATGCCAATGCTGCTGTCCCAGGGACCATACTTTGAGAACCACTCCTGGAAAGCCAGCAGAAGCTTTGGAGTCAGTCACCCCCAGGTCTACACTCTGGCTGTGTGACTGACTGCTGTGTGAACTAGAAGTGATATGCCTCAGTTTCTTGTACTTTGAAATGGGGATAATAATATTGACTTCACAGAGTCATTGTAAGAGTTGATGTGTTAATATTTTTTAAAAGTTTAGCATACTGCTTGGTACATAGTAAACATTCAATAGATGGTTTCTGTTGTTATTTAGAATAAAGCTTGGGGATCAATTAAATCTTTAGGAACCATAAATTCAGTTAAGAGTTTTAAAGTAGTTTCTCAGAAACTTTTTGTGACTTTGTAACTTCAAGATATTGTCAGAGGCTAGGTGCAGTGGCTCATGCCTGTAATTGCAGCACTTTGGGAGGCCGAGGTGGGTGGATCATCTGAGGTCAGGAGTTCGAGATCAGCCTTGCCAACATAGTGAAACCCTGTCTCTACGAAAAATACAAAAAAAACTCACTGCAGGTGGTGAGTACCTGTAGTCCCAGCTACTCAGGAGGCTGAGGCAGGAGAATTGCTGAACCTGGGAGACGGAGGTTGCAGTGAGCCGAAATCGGGCTATTGCACTCCAGCCTGGGCGACAGAGCGAGACTTTGTCTCAAAAAAAAAAAAAATGTTGTCAGGTGTTGTTAGGACACACACACACACACTCATGTATACAAACACATTCTCTTGACTTTTCTTCTTATTTATGGTAGACTTGGCAGAAGAGGAGAGCAGCAGAAGTGACAAAAACACATGGAAGAATATGGAAAAATTAGAACCCTCATATATAAGTGGTGAGAATGTAAAACGGTGTAGCTACTTTGGAAAACAGTTTGGCAGTTCCTCAAAAAGTTAAACTTAGAGTTACCAAACGGACTCAGCGATTCTACTCCTAGTTATATAACCAAAATAATTGAAAACCTGTTAACACAGTAACTTGAACACAAATGTTCACTGAAGTATTATTCAAAACTGCCTGAAAGGAACAATCCAAATGTCCATCAATTCATGAATGGATAAACAAATGTGGCATATCTATACAATAGACTATCTATTCAGCTATAAAAAAGAAATAAAGTCCTGATACTTATTACAATGTGGTTATACCTGGAAACATACTGCTAAGTGATAAAAGGCAGACACAAAAGGCTACATATTGTATAATTCCATTTATATGAAATGACCAAAATAGGCAAATCTATACAGCTAGAAAGTAGATTAGTGGCTGCCAGGGGATGGGAAAAAAGGGTAACAGTGAGTGACTGCTAATGGTTATAGGGTTTCTTTTTGAGATGATGAAAATGTTTTAAAATTAGATAGTAGAGATGGTTGCACAGCCTTTTGAATATTCTAGGAAACACTGAATAGTATAATTTAAAACATTTTATGGCTTATGAGTTATATCTCAGAAAACCCGAAATGCACACCTATGTATGTGTGGACATGAAGCATGAATGAGTAATAAACCTTTTTTGTTATTACAAGTATTTGTGGGGAAGAGGAGGTGATTCATAGTGAGAAGACATTCTGTGAAGTATACTACCCTATTAGAGATTCTAGTATCCTAGAGAAGAGTGGATCTCAGGTTTTAGTATACATAGGAACCCCCTGGACCCCCCTGTTTGTTAAAACAGGTTCCTGGCCCCCACCCCAGAGGTTTTGGGTACAGCCTGAGAATTTGCATTTCTGATGTGCTTTCAGATGATCTGATTTTGTAAGATTGAGAACTAAACTTTGGGTAGCATCTTTATAGATTAGACATATCCTATACTTAAATGGGTGAATTTTATGACATGTGAAGTATATCTCAATAAAGATGCTAAAAAAGATGGGTATAAAGATAGTAAAATGTGAGTTTTAGTGGTTTGTTAATGGCAAGACAATGCTCTGTAAGGGAATTGGTTTAATAATTAATTTCTTCATTTGTAAAATGTGTCACTGTCCTGTGCATGTGCCACCTAGGGTTGTGGTGAAAATGGGGTTATGTGTTCTTTTGCAAATGGTGTTTTGTGGGTAAAATGTGTTGCCTTAAAAAAAAAAAAAAAAAAAAAAAAGGCCATGGCTAGATTGAAGCTTTTGTAATTAACCAAATGTTTTCTTATAGTGTAAAAACAGTATAGGCAGGGCGCAGTGGCTTATGCCTGTAATCTTAGCACTTTGGGAGGCCGAGGTGGGTGGATCACCTGAGGTCAGGAGTTCGAGACCATTCCTGACCAATATGGAGAAACCCCCGTCTCTACTAAAAATACAAAATTAGTCAGGCGTGATAGTGCATGCCTGTAATCCCAGCTGCTCGGGAGGCTGAGGCAGGAGAATCCCTTGAACCCAGGAGGCAGAGGTTGTGGTGAGCCGAGATCATACCGTTACACTCCAGCCTGGGCAACAAGCGCGAACTCCATCTCAAACAAACAAACAAAAAACAGTATAAACTTTAAAATATTGTATTCTGTCTTTTTAATTTTGGCTACAAAAACATTTCTCCCTTGATTTTCTTTAGTGATATATTTTAAGCATTATTTTTGACAAGTTGTAATCTATTTTTTCCCTTTCCTATGATTTTTTTGTTTTATTAAACCTCTTGAGATTAAATATATGATTGTGACATTTGGAATGCTTGTATATAGTGTTAAAACATCTTTTCATGACTTTACCATAATTATTTCTTTATTTCAGATGAGGTGGAGGACCATCCTGCTACAGTATTGCTTTCTCTTGATTACATGTCTACTTACTGCTCTTGAAGCTGTGCCTATAGACATAGACAAGACAAAAGTACAAAATATTCACCCTGTGGAAAGTGCAAAGATAGAACCACCAGTAAGTGAAATGAAGTGAAATAGGAGGAATTATAACTAGATGAAATGAATTATAATTATAACTAAATGAGGTAAAATGAGGTAAAGTTATAATTAAATGAAATGGGAGGAATTATAATGAAAATATTGCTAATATTTATGACTTATAAAATTGTACACTTGGAAACTATTTCTTAAATAGCGAAAAGAGTATTGGACAAGCATATGCTGCTTACCCTTAGACAATATTTATTTAATATAGTTAGTATATTAAATAGGAGAATTAGTTGTAATACATTTCTGACACAGAGCTAACTAGCCAATAAAACACTGTATTATATTCAAAGCAGGGACAGATAACAATGGGGAGAAACCAAAATGGTAAAATCTTCATTGTCTGAACCATATAGAAAATCTACTGGACTACAGAGTGTCGTAAAAAAGAAAAATCTACCTTTATGTAACAATAAAAGATGATATTGGTTCTGATATAAAACTATTTATTTCAGAAATACAGCTTTTTCACTTTGTTGAAACTATCATAGTAAGTGTGTCTCAATGCCATTTGCTAGAAATTGTTTCTCAGGATTGACCTCTTTAGATTCAAACAAGGAAAATCCTGCAGAAGCATTACTGTTGGTTTCTTAATTTGAAGGATACTGGACTTTATTATGATGAATATCTCAAGCAAGTGATTGATGTGCTGGAAACAGATAAACACTTCAGAGAAAAGCTCCAGAAAGCAGACATAGAGGAAATAAAGGTAAATGCAATTAAATAATGTATACATATATGTGTCTTAATTTAAAATTTTTTTAGAGATGAAGTCTCACCGTATAACCCAGGCTGGCCTTGAGTTCCTGGGCTCTAGCCGTCCTCCCACCTCAGTCTCTCCAGTTGTTGGGACTACAGGCGTGTGCCACCACGCTCGGTTTAAATATTTAACAAACATTTGCACGTGCCAGACCCTGAGCTAAGTACTAGAAATACAAAGATGAGATTTATTCCCAGCCCTTAAGGAATCCTCAAGGGAAAATCATATCCAGAAATAGATTATAGGATGGATTATATGATGAGTATTTAATCTAGAAATACAGATGACAGACACATAATCTAATATGAAGCAGTGGGGTGAGGTGGGAAGTTATTCTTCCTAATAGAGATTATGCCAGAGCTTAAAGATGTAGTGAGAAAAGGAGAGGGACTGGGAGGCATCCCAGACAAAGGTGCAATGGTACAGAGGCAAGAGGTATACGGGAAACTGGAAGCAGTAACTGTGGCTAGACCCCGGAGTGGGAAATGGAGGCCTGAGTGGCCAAAAGATGAGGTTTGGGAAGAGTCACAACCTCAATGACAGAGGGCCTGTATATCATGTTAAGGGGTTTGGGTCATTATCTGAGAACAGCAGGAAGTTATTCAAAAGTTTGGAATAGGCGAGGTTCTGGTGTTTTAATCAGGTCCAGATTAACAGAAGAAATAATGGGCTATGTATTATATCAATCAGAGAGGTTTAACCATTTGACTCTGTCCTAAGTACCCTATTTGACATAATTCTAGCCATAGTCAGCTCTTTGGTACTCATAATAAGAAAGGGGGTTGTAGAGATCTGACATGAGAGATTCTTGTAAAGTCTTTCCTTAAAAGGAAATGAATCAGCTTAGCTGGGTTTATCTTAGACTCAGTGAGTAAAAAAAAAATCCAGTTAATTTTAAAATTTCAATAATGTCTCCTAAGATAATTTTGTTTGCTTATGTTACCTTTATTTATTTAATTTTTACTTTCTTAAAAACTTACATTGCCTTTTTTCTAGAATCAGAATAAGAATTGTGTTTGAAAGACTCATTCTGGGTCAAACAAACCTTTTATTTTAAGTTTCTGATCTTGGTGTGAACTTCTTTGAAAGACTGACTCCCGTTAGGTTGTGGTGTCTGTCAGCGCTCAGGTGTGGCATTTAGTTCACAGCTCTCCTCTTTGAAGTTGTGAACTTTTCTGGGGAAAAGGTAATAGTGTTATGCTAATAGTTCCCCGGAATTGTCTATGAAGATAACCTTACTTTTCTTCTCAAGGATTAATTCGATCTGTGGAACAAGTTTCCTATGCTGAATATATCTGATATAGAACTCTTAATGTCTTTGTATCAGGAGTAAAAGCATTATTTGGGGTAACATAGAAAATGTGGATCATGGGAGATACTACATAGAGATATTCAGGCAAAAGAAGAAAATATGCTTCCTAGATTGGTGCAGGGAATATTTTTATAACTCTCTTCCTTTCACATTCAATTCCTGTTTCTGTGAATGGTTAGGGGGAACCAAAATGAAGTTAAACAGTTACACAATAAAAAAGAAATGAGGGGCTGGGTGCAGTGGCTCAAGCCTGTAATCTCAGCAGTTTGGGAGGCTGAGGCAGGTGGATCTTGAGGTCAGGAGTTCAAGACTAGCCTGGCCAAGATGATGAAACCCTGTCTCCACTAAAAATAGAAAAATTAGCCGGGTGTGGTGGCACACAGCTGTAATCCCAGCCACTCGGGAGGCTGAGGCAGGAGAATTGCTTGAACCTGGGCAGCAGAGGTTGCAGTGAGCCAAGATTGTGTCACTGCACTCCAGCCTGGGCAATAGAGTGAGACTTTGTCTTAAAAAAATAAATAAATAAATAAATAAAAAATAAAAGAGGGGCGGGCACAGTAGTCCACACCTGTAATCCCAGTACTTTGGGAGACTGAAGCAGGAGGATGGCTTCTAGCCAGTGGTTTGAGGCCAGCCAGAGCAACATAGCGAGACCCTGTCACTACAAAAAATTAAAATTTAAAATTAATTTAATTAAAAATTAAATTAAAAATTATCCTTCAAATTAAAAAAAAAGTTGTCTGAGGCCAGACACAGTGGCTCACACTTGTAATCCCAGCAGTTTGAGAAGCCAAGGTGGGAGAATCACTTGATCCCAGAAGTTCAAGACCAGCCTAGGCAATATAGTGAAACTCCTAGCTCTACCAAAAATATAAAAAATTAGCTGGATGTGGTGGTGTGTGCCTGTAGTCCCAGCTGCTCAGAAAGCTGAGGTGGGAGGATCACTTGAGCCCAGGAGTTTGAGGTTGCAGTGAACTATGATTGTATGACTGCTCTAGCCTGTATGACAGGGAGCGAGACTTCATCTTTTAAAAAAGAAAAAAAAAATGAGTAAAACTAGACAATAAAACCCAAACCAGTAGAATCATCACAAATAACCAAGAAAAACTCTTGTTTCATAAAAAAATGAAAAAAAGTTAGAATTTTCTCTTTTTTTTTTTTTGGGGGGGACAAGGTCTCACTCTGTCACCCAGGCTGGAGTACAGACACGACACAATCTTGGCTCACTGCTACCTCTGCCTCCCAGGCTCAAGCGATCCTCCCACCTCAGCCTCCCAAGTAGCTGGGATTACAGGTGTGGGCCACTTTGTCTGGCTAATTTTTGTATTTTTAGTAGAGATAGGAGTTTTGTATTTTTAGTAGAGATGTTGTCCAGGCTGGTCTCAAACTCCTGACCTCAAATGATCCCCCTGCCTTGGCCTCCCAAAGTGCTGGGATTACAGGCGTGAGCCTCCGTGCCCGCCTCTCTTTCCTTTTCAGCTAAGCATTTTGAAAGGAAAATCATATTACATTTCTTCACTTCCCAAACATTCCCTAACTGGAAAGGTTATGGTACTGCCCTCACTGTTCCACTGAATATACCTTCATGGAGGGCATCCATGACTTCTTAATTGCCAAATCTAGTGAACATCCTAACACCTTTGATTCCTCATTCTACCGGACTCCTTTATTTATCTCAATAGTTTTTAGATTTCAGGGTTTGTTAAAACATATTTCTGGTTCTTACCTTCAGGGTGTCCAATTCAGTAACTCTAGGGCCTGCATTTCTGAAGTTCCCTGGTGATGCTGCTCTAGTTGGGGACTACATTTTGACAACCATTGTTTTATCTAATAATAATGACTATTCTCTCCTTGAAATATACTGCTCTTTTTGATTCTGTAACAGTATATTCTCGTAGTTTTCCTACTAATCACTCATCTATGAAGAAAGCAATCAAAGGGGACCTAAAAAAGATAAATTTTGAAAAGCTTTTATATATGGAATGACTAATGCTTATAGAGGCCAACTGACTTTTAATTTAAATGTTCTTTTTAGCCCTAATGGTGCTGACCAACTTAACTTTTTTAAAAAATAAGAAGCCGAGTGCAGTGGCTCCCGGGAATCCCAGCATTCTGGGAGGCTGAGGTGGGTGGATTGCTTGAGCTCAGAAGTTCGAGACCAGCCTGGGCAACATGGCAAAACCCTGTCTCTACAAAAAATACAAAAATTAATCAGTCATGGTGGCATGCATCTGTAATCCTAGCTACTTGGGAGGTTGAGGTGGGAGGACTGCTTGAGCCTGGGAGGTTGAGGCTGCAGTGAGCCATGATCATGCTACTGCACTCCAGCCTGGGTGACAGACTGGACCCCATCTCATAAAATAAAATAAAATAAAATAAATAAATAAATAAATAAATTGTTGACATGTAATTCATATACCATAAAATTTATCTTTTTAAAGCATAAAATTCAGTGTCTTTTTGTCTGTTTTTTTGTTTTATTTTGTTTTGTTCTGAGATGGATTCTTGCTCTGTCACCCAGACTAGAGTGCACTGGCATGATCTCAGCTCACTACAACCTCCACCTCCCCGGCTGAAACGATTCTCCTGTCTCAGCCTCCTGAGTAGCTGGGACTACAGGCATGTGCCACCACACCTGGCTAATTTTTGTATTTTTAGTAGAAATGGGTTTTCACCATGTTGGCCAGGCTGGTCTCAAACTCCAGCGCTCTAACGATCCATCTACCTCAGCCTCCCAAAGTGCTGGGATAACAGGTGGGAGCTACCGCACCCTGCCATTTCAGTAGTTTTTTAATGTACCCGCGGAGTCATGCAATCATCACCACTATCTAATTTTAGAATATTTTCATTGTCCCCAAAATAAACCGTGTGCCCATTAAGCTGTAACTCCTAATTGCGCCCCTTTCCCCAACCACAATAAATCTACTATTCATCTCTGTGGATTTGCCTGTTCCGGACATTGCGTATACATGGACTCACAGAATAAATGGTTTGTTGTGTCTGGTTTCTCTCACTTAGCATAATGTTTTACAGGTTCATTCATGTTGTAGCATGTGTCAGGATTTTATACTTTTTTATGGCCAAACAACATACTATTGTATTGGTATACTGTATTTTGTTTATCCATTCATTATTGATACTGACATTTAGGTTTCTGCTTTTTTGGACTAGTATGAATATGCAGCTATGAATATTATGTTTAAGTTATTGTGTTAACATGTTTTCTGTTCTTTTAGTTATATATCTAGGAATGGAATTGTTGGGTCATGGTAACCCTATGTTTAACTTTTTGAGTGAACTGCAAACTCTTTTTTGAAGTGGCTACCCATTTTAACAATTAACGTTTGAGTTCTGCTTTGTGCTTAATGATGCCTTTTCTAAATTACATGGTTTTTCAGACATCTGGATTTAGAAGTTAAAAGCTAATCTTTTTTTTTTTTTTGAGATGGAGTTTCACTCTCCGTTGCCAGGCTGAGCGCCATGGCAATGATCTTGGCTCACTGTAAACCTCCCGCCTCCCGGGTTCAAGCGATTCTCCTGCCTTCAGCCTCCCGAGTAGCTGGGAGTATAGCAATGGTCATCCAACCCGGCTAATTTTGATTTTTAGTTAAGAACGGGGTTTTAACCCATGTTGGCA